CCTGACCATGCACAGGATTTTTTTTTTCACTGGCCTATCACCAAAGGTGTGTGAGGGCAAAGTGTACAAGAATTATACTAATGTTTATATTTTTGGTCATTTTTTCTTTTTTTATTCTTGTTTGCATGTGGAGTTCCTCAGTTATTATTATTTATTTTTTTTATAATTTCCAAAAAGCCCTCTGGTCTGTGTATAAATCTGAAACCAACTTAATGTAAATGTCCTGTAAGTGTTGAGCCTCTAGCCACTGAGTGCCCCTTGGCAGTTGCCCATGTCACCCATATTGTAGATCCGGCCAAGGTCTTAATGCGTGGATGGCCAAGGACAACAGTGTTTGTCCAAGATGCTTCTTGCAACCCAGCTTACATATAAAGATGTTAAACAAACTTTACATTTTTTCATTTATATTTATTATTGAGATTTTCAATCTGATATTGCTAAATCCTGCATTTTAGGAATATAAAAAGTTTTTGAATTAATTAATTAATTAAATTGATAAATTGGTAAATGTCAGCTGATGCCACACAAAGTAAAGTTGTATATACACATCGTATCTTATGAGAGACCAGATCTTATGCAGTTGCAGGTTTTCACATGTTCAGGAAACACAGTGGCTTGATTGAAATTACAGTAACATTATTAAAAAGCGAGATGAGTGAACAACAGCTGAGTAGCATATACTCCAGCAGCCGTATTACTACTCTGTCTAATAACTGTCTTCCAAATATATACATAATATATATATGAATTCCAGCATGGCACTGTGATAGGATTCCACCTGTGCAACAAGTACAGTCGTGAAATTTCCTCGCTACTAAATATTAATAGATTTTCACATGTTTAGAAAACACAGTGGCTTGATTGAAATTACAGTAACTTTATTAAAAATCCAGATGAGTGATGACCAGCAATGCTCCTCCAGCAGCCTTATTACTACTCTTCTCCATAACTGTCTTCCAAATATATAGATACATCTCTATACTGTTGTGTAATGCAGTATAAACTACATAAGAAAATGATCAGGGACGTAATTTTTGCTTTAGCAGCTGAATTTAAAAACGATCTGGAAACAAATTAAACCTTGAAGACGAGGATTCAAATATTCTACATGATAAAATATACTTAGCTGATTTTCTGAACCATGGATAAAAAATGGCATATATTAATGGATTTACAGAGGAGTTAATGTACAGTAGCCATCCAAACACAGCCCACACTATTGATGCAGATGTGACACTTTCAACTGACAGAGAAGTTACATAAAATGGTATCCAGCAAGCGAGATAAACAAAAATTACAATTCCCAGTGTTTTCGCTGCTTTGGTTTCAGAGGGGCTTGAAAGTTTTGCTCCATGTTTCTTTGAGGCTCCATTCTTCACAGCTCTAACAGTTCTAGCTTGACGTCTTGCCACATTAAAAATGATTGAATACAAGACCAGTATAACAGAGCAAGGGGTCAGAAAAAAAACTACAAGGTCAACAATGACCCAGAAAAATTTTACTGACACTACACACTCTCCATAGCATCTGGTGGAAATCTGAGATGGAAGGAGATTGTCATTAAAGTAAAAATACATGATAGCAAACAGCAGACAGAAAGACCAGCCTAGAATTATCATCATGGACATTTTACAAACTGTGATCTTTGTGGAATACAGTAGAGGGTCAGTGACAGCGATGTAGCGATCAACTGCAATAAAAACCAGGTTACAGAGAGATGCTGACAGTAAGATGCCATTGATAACCAAAAGAATACAGCATCCCAGTTTTCCAAGATACCAACAAGAGTCTATTAATTCCATTATTTTCACTGGCATAACAATCAGGCCTACAAGAAGATCCACTGCAGCCAGAGAGAGGATGAGCAGGTTGGTGGGAGTGTGGAGCTGCTTGAAGTGAGAGATGGAGATGATCACCAGCACATTCAGAAACACAGTGAACACAGATATACATGAGAGAAAAACAAACAGAAATATATAAACAGTTCCTGTTTGGACCTCCTTTCTGCAAGATGAGTTGTTGTCAGGAAAGCAGTATTGAACTGTGATGTTCTGCCTGTAGTCTGTGTTGTCCATATGAAATAGATGATGCTCTGCCAGTTGGAACTGATCCTGTTGTCCAGTAGTGCTGAACTGGGTGATCTGACTTTTTGCAATGACTCTTTATACATAAACATGAATCCTCCCACTGACACATGAATGGCCAGTTTGTCCTCAACATCAGTCACTCATCTGAAATACAACATTGCATCATTACTTACTGTGACAGTCCACAGAAGGGGGGTGGGGGGGTTAGAGTAATAGTTGATAACTAATATCATAGTTACTAATTTTGCATACAGAATACATGAAACATTGCAGATGAACCTGAAGGGCCGTAATACTGCTACTCACCTGATGGGAGTTGTGAGGTTCTTGAATATATGACATACTGTGTGCTTTTCATATGTATAGAAAATTTACATTAAAAATCCTACGATAACATCACCTTTAAAGACCCTGAGGTCTTCTGTACGACCCATTCTACTGCAAAGTTTTTCTGAGATTCATAACTCTGTGCTTGATTTTATATACCTGTTAAGCAATGGGGCGGCACAGTGGCGCAGTGGGTAGCGCTGTCGCCTCACAGTAAGAATGGTCTGGGTTTGATTCCCGGCCGGGTGACCAGGTTCATTTCTGTGTGGAGCCTGTTCTCCCCGTGTCTGCGTGGGTTTCCTCTGGGTACTCCGGTTTTCCTCCCACAGTCCAAAAAACATGCAGTCAGGCTGACTGGACGTGCTAAATTGCCCCTAGGTGTGAATGTGTCTGTCTGCCCTGCGATGAACTGGAGACCTGTCCAGGGCGTATCCTGCCTTCTGCCCAATGACAGCTGGGATAGGCTCCAGTACCCCACCGTGACCCAGAAGGATAAGCGGTTTAGATGATGGATGGATGGATGGATGGATGTTAAGCAATGGGTGTGACCTGAACTCGAAAATTAGGAGGAATGTCCACATACTTTTGTCCATGTAGAGTATATCAGCTTGTAGAAACACCACTTTACTATCTGCTTCTTTGAGCCAGCATGTTAGAACTCAAAATATACAAACAAATAACTGTGAAATTAAACAAAAGTTCACGTTCAAGTCATATTGCAGAGGCATAATGCAGAATTTCAGCACACAAGGATACTTAAAACATCTCCTTTGAATGACAGAAGCAAAATCAAAGATAATAGATAACTTGAAGGCCCTGAGCTCAGATATTATTTCTCATATTAATTATTCAGTCTTTTTTTCATGTTCAATGGCTGTTTTTGCACCCAGTGTTTATATCTGCAGTCGAATGCACCAAGTATTTGAGCACCCTTGTGCCTTGTTGTCTGAGGCCCCAGGCAGTCAGAGACCACTGGGCACTGTCCCCTTTGATCTTTAACTCTAATCCATCCCTGGCCCTAAGCTGTAATATTCTGCCTTCAGTGTGCCGACCCTTGACAATTACTTTATCAGTGTGTCCTGATTTGATGTTTTCTAGTAGAAATATCTCAGGATAGTTTGTGACAGGATATAGTGATTGTCTTCCTGTCTGATGGGCCCACATATTAGTGGCAATTTGCATGACAGGTACATCATTTGTTGGTAGGTTAACAAAGAGTGACCTATCTTGCTTGTTTGCTAAAGGTGTTAGTGGCCATGCATGACATGAGTTACAATATTCCTTTACATTAAGATACAGCCTCCTTGCCCACTGGCTGTGGTCCTTTGACCCAGATCTCCCACCCAGGGGATACTGTGATCTGGCCGCAGCACTGAAGGTCTGACCCTTTTGGGGACTCCTGAATATTTGTTGTCGTCAGAGAATTTCACCTTGTTGGTAGTCCTAAACTGCCCTGTCCAATCTATTTTGCAGGCACTGATTTCAGAGTGAGTGTGTATTTCTGAAATATAATTAAGTTAATATGCTAAAACATTAGATAGATTGTCTTTGTGCTGGTTTTATAGAAATAGAGGCCAAAGTAGATTCACAAATCATTCCATTTGTTATTTGCATTTCACAAACTGTCCAAACCTTTTTTGAACTGAACTTTGTTCTTTCTCCTTTTCTCTCTTTTTTCAGGGCAGGCAGGGGCATTGCACTGTCACTGATCATTCCTGACTGACTCTTCATTGTACACCTACTGCGTTTTTTTTGTTTGTTTGTTTGTTTTGTTTTGTTTTGTTTTGTTTTGTTTTTTAACCAAGGCATTTTCCACTCTGGTACTGCTGAGATCTATGGTTCTAAGCAGGCCTGGGGGAAGGTTCTCTGATTCCCCTGGGATTTGCAGCAATGGTGGGCTGCCTGTGCCCAAACAATACCACTTTCCTGATCATGTGCACTGCTTTTTTCACTGACTCATCACCAAAGATATTGGACGCCAAAATGTACAAGAATTACACCAAGAAACAAACTTAATGTAAAGGTCCAACAAGTGTCGAGCCCCTAGCCACTGAGTGCCCCTGGGCAGTCACCCATATTGTAGATCCAACCAAGCTCTTAATGTATAAATGGCCATGAGTGAGCAGTGCTTGGCCTTCTGATGACCCAGCCTACACGTAAGGATGTAAAACACACTTAATACATTTTTCCTGTTTATATTTTTTTAATATTAATTATTAGTATTGTCAAATTGAGATAGCTAAATCCTGAATTTTATGAAAATGAAACATATTTTAATGCAGGAATACAAAAAAAAATATAAATTGATAAATGTCAGCTGATGCCACACAAAGTGAAGTTGTATATACACATCAGATCTAATGAGAGACCAGATCTTATGCAGTTGCAGGTTTTCAAATGTTCAGGAAACACAGTGGCTTATTTGAAATCACAGTAATATTACTAAAAAGCCAGATGAGTGATCAACAGCAATGTTCCTCCAGCAGCCTTATTCCTACTCTTTTCCATAAATGTCTTCCAAATATATATATTGAAAAAAAAAACATTTTTATACTGTTGTGTAATGCAGTATAAACTACAAAAGAAGTAATCTGTGAAGTCTTTGCTTTATCAGCTGAAGTTAAGAACATCCTGGAAACAAATTAAACCTTGAAGATGAGGATTCAAATATTCTACAAAATATAATATACTTAGCTGATTTTCTGAACCATGGATAAAAAATGGCATATATTAATGGATTTACAGAGGAGTTAATGGATAGTAGCCATGATAACACAGTCCACACCACTGACAAGGATGTGACACTTTCAACTGACAGAGAAGTTACATAAAATGGTATCCAGCAAGCAAGATAAACAAAAACAACAATGCTCAGTGTTTTCGCTGCTTTGGTTTCAGAAGCACTCGAGAGTTTTGCTCCATGTTTCTTTGAGGCTCCATTCTTCACAGCTCTAACAGTTCTAGCTTGACGTCTGGCCACATTAAAAATGATTGAATACAAGACCAGTATAACAGAGCAAGGGGTCAGAAAAAAAACTACAAGGTCAACAATCAACCAGGAAAATTGTATAAACACTACACACTCTCCATAGCATCTGGGGGAAATCTGAGATGGAAGGAGATTGTCATTAAAGTAAAAATACATGATAGCAAACAGCAGACAGAAAGACCAGCCTAGAATTATCATCATAGACATTTTACAAACTGTGATTCTCGTGGAATACAGTAGAGGGTCAGTGACAGCGATGTAGCGATCAACTGCAATAAAAACCAGGTTACAGAGAGATGCTGACACTAGGACGGCATTGATCACAGAAAGAATACAGCATCCCAATATTCTGAGATACCAACAAGAGTCGATTAATCGCATGACATTCACTGGCATAACAATCAGGCCCACGAGTAGATCCACTACAGCCAGAGAGAGGATGAGCAGGTTGGTGGGAGTGTGGAGCTGCTTGAAGTGAGAGATGGAGATGATCACCAGCAGGTTCAGAAACACAGTGAACACAGATACACATGAGAGAAAAACAAACAAAAACACATTTCCTGGCCCTGTTCGGACCTCCTTTCTGCAAGATGAGTTGTTGTCAGGAAAGCAGTATTGAACTGTGATGTTCTGCCTGTTGTCTGTGTTGTCCATCTGAAACAAATGCTGCCCTGCCTGTTGGAACTGATCCTGTTGTCCAGTAGTGCCGAACTGGGTGATTTGGCTTTTTTGCAGTGACTCTTTTTACACAAGCTTGGATCCTCCCACTGACACATGAATGGCCAGTTTGTCCTTAACATCAGTCACTCATCTGAATTACAGCATTGCATCATTACTTACTGTGAACTGTCATAACTCTATGCTTGATTTTAGATACCTGTTAGCAAAGGGTGTGACCTGAACTCAAAAATTAGGAGGGATGTCCACATATTTTTGTCCATATAGAGTATATCAGCTTGTAGAAACATCACTTTACTATCTGCTTCTTTGAGCCAGCATGTTAGAACTCAAAATATACAAACAAATAACTGTGAGATTAAACAAAATTTCACGTTCAAGTAATGTTGCAGAGTCATAATGCAGAAACAGAAGTATTTCAGCACACAAGGATACTTAAAACATCTCCTTTGAATGACAGAAGCAAAATCAGTGATAATAGATAACTTGAAGGCCCTGAGCTCAGATATTATTTCTCATTTTAACTATTTTAATCGTTTTTACATGTTCAATGGCTGTTTTTGCACCGAATGTTTATATCTGCAGTGGAATGCACCAAGTATTTCAGCATCCTTGGGCCTTGTGGTCTGCGGTCCTCGGCAGTCAGAGACCCCCGGGTACTGCTCTCATTAACCTTAAACTGTAATCCATCCCTGGCCCTGAGCTGTAATATTCTGCCTTTAGTATGCCGACCCATGACAATAACTATATCACTGCATCCTGATTTGACCTTTTCTAGTGGAAATGGATGGAAATGGTCTCTGGATACTTTGTGAGAGGATGTATTGTCTGTCTTCCTGTCTGATGGGCCTTCATATTAGTTGCAATATGTATGACAGGTCCATCATTTGTTGGTAGGTTAACAAAGTGTGCCCTATCTCTCTTCTCTTTGCTGTAGCTGTTAGTTGACATGACTTATAATATTCCTTTATATTCAGACACAGTCTACTTGCCCCCTGGCTGTGGTCTTTTGCCTCAGATGTCCCACCCAGGACAGGGGACAGAGTGACCTAGCTGGAGCACTGAAGGTCTGACCCTTTTGGGGACTCCTGAAAATTGGTTGTTGTCGCATAACCTCATTGCGTCACCTGTTTAAGGTATATTTCTTAACCTTTCACCTTGTTGGTAGTCCTAAACTGCCCTGTCCAAACTATTTTGCAGGCACTGATTTCAGAGTGAGTGAATATTTCTGAAATATAATTAAGTTAATATGGTAAAACATTACATAGGTTGTCTTTGTACTGGTTTTGTAGAAATAGAGGCCAACGTGGATTCACAAATCATTCCATTTTTTATTTGCATTTCACAAACTGTCCAAACCTTTTTGAATTGAGGTTTGTTCTTTCTCCTTTGCTCTCTTTCTTGAGGTCAGACAGTGGCATTGCACTGTCACTGATCATTCCTGATTTAGAGCGGTGGCTCATTATCATCTCTAAACTGCACTGACTCTTCATGCTCCAGCTGTTTTATTTGTTTGTTTGTTTGTTTGTTTGTTTAAACCAAGGCACTGTCCACTCTGGTGATGCTGAGATTCATGGTGATCTATAGTCAGGCCTGAGGGACGGTCCTCTGATGCCCCTGGGATTTACAGCTATGGCTGGCTTGCCTGTACCCAGAATATACTTTCCTGATCATGCACAGGATTTGTTTCACTGACCTACACTATATTGCCAAAAGTATTTGCTCGTCTGCCTTCACGCACATATGAACTTGAGGGACATCCCATTCTTAATCCATATGGTTTAATATGATGTCGGCCCACCCTTTGCAGCTACAACAGCTTCAACTCTTCTGGGAAGGCTTTCCACAAGGTTTAGGAGTGTTCATGGGAATTTTTGACGATTCTTCCAGAAGTGCGTTTGTGAGGTCAGACACTGATGTTGGACGAGAAGGCCTGGCTCGCAGTCTCTGCTCTAAATCATCCCAAAGGTGTTCTATCGGGTTGAGGTCAGGACTCTGTGCAGGCCAGTCAAGTTCTTCCACAACAAACTCGCTCATCCATGTCTTTATGGACCTTGCTTTGTGCACTGGTGCGCAGTCATGTTGGAACAGGAAGGGGCCGTCCCCAAACTGTTCCCACAAAGTTAGGAGCATGAAACTGTCCAAAATCTCTTGTTATGCTGAAGCATTAAGAGTTCCTTTCACTGGAACTAAGGGGCCGAGCCCAACTCCTGAAAAACAACCCACCATAATCCCCCCTCCACCAAACTTTACACAAGTACCGTTCTCCTGGCAACCGCCAAACCCAGAGTCATCCATCCGATTGCCAGACGGAGAAGTGTGATTTGTCACTCCAAACATGTCTCCACTGCTCTAGAGTCCAGTGGCAGCGCTTTACACCACTGCATTCGATGCTTTGCATTGCGCTTGGTGATGTAAGGCTTGGATGCAGCTGCTCGGCCATGGAAACCCATTCCATGAAGCTCTCTATGCTGTTCTTGTGCCTGAGTTGCTGTCGTTCCCAATCGCTTACACTTTGTTATAATACCACTGACAGTTGACTGTGGAATATTTAGTAGTGAGGAAATTTCATGACTGGACTTGTTGCACAGGTGGCATCCTATCACGGTACCACGCTGGAATTCACTGAGCTCCTGAGAGCGACTCATTCTTTCATTCTTTCCTAATGTTTGTAGAAGCAGTCTGCATGCCAAGGTTCTTGGTTGTATACACATGTGGCCATGGAAGTGATTGGGACCCCTGAATTCAATGATTTGGATGGGTGACTGAATACTTTTGGCAATATAGAATATCACCAAAGGAGTAGGAGGCCAAACTGTACAAGAATTGCACTGATGTTTATATTTTTGGTCATTTTTTATTTTTGACTGCATGTGGAGTTCCTAAGTTATCATTATTATTATTTTTTTGTCATTTCCGAAAAAGCCCTCTGATCTGTGCATAAATCTGAAACCAACTTAATGTAAATGTCCTATAAGTGTTGAGCCTCTAGCCACTGAGTGCCTCTGGGCAGTTGCCCACGTCACCCATATTGTAGATCCGGCCAAGGTCTTAATGCGTGGATGGCCAAGGGCAACATTGTTTGGCCAAGATGCTTCTTGCAACCCAGCTTACATATAAAGATGTTAAACAAACTTTATATTTTTTCATTTATTTTTATTTTTATTTTTTTTCAATCTGATATTGCTAAATCCTGCACTTAATGAATATGAAATGTGTTTGCAGACAAGAATAAAAAAATAATCAAATTGAGAAACTGGTAAATATCAGCTGATGCCACACAAAGTAAAGTTGTACATACACACATCAGTTCTGGTGAGAGACCAGATCTTGTGCAGTTGTAGATTTTCCACATGTTCAGAAAACATAGTGGCTTGATTGAAATTACAGTAACATTATCAAATGTTCCTCCAGCAGCCTTATTACTACTCTTTTCCATAACTGTCTTCCAAATATATATATTTTTTAAAAGATCCATCTCTATACTGTTGTGTAATGCAGTATAAACTACATAAGAAAATGATCAGGGAAGTAATTTTTGCTTTAGCAGCTGAATTTAAAAATGATCTGGAAACAAATTAAACCTTGAAGACGAGGATTCAAATATTCTACATGATAAAATATACTTAGCTGATTTTCTGAACCATGGATAAAAAATGGCATATATTAATGGATTCACAGAGGAGTTAATGTACAGTAGCCATCCAAACACAGCCCACACTATTGATACAGATGTGACACTTTCAACTGACACAGAACTTACATAAAACGGTATCCAGCAAGCAAGATAAACAAAAACAACAATGCTCAGTGTTTTCGCTGCTTTGGTTTCAGAAGCACTCGAGAGTTTTGCTCCATGTTTCACTGAAGCTCCATTCTTCACAGCTCTAACAGTTCTAGCTTGACGTCTGGCCACATTAAAAATGATTGAATACAAGACCAGTATAACAGAGCAAGGGGTCAGAAAAAAAACTACAAGGTCAACAATGACCCAGGAAAATTTTACAAACACTACACACTCTCCATAGCATCTGGTGGAATCTGAGATGGAAGGAGATTGTCATTAAAGTAAAAATACAAAATAACAAATATAACGCAGAAAGACCAGCCTAGAATTATCATCATGGACATTTTACAAACTGTGATCTTTGTGGAGTACAGTAGAGGGTCAGTGACAGCGATGTAGCGATCAACTGCAATTAAAACCAGGTTACAGAGAGATGCTGACAGTAAGAGGGCATTGATCACAGAAAGAATACAGCATCCCAATTTTCCAAGATACCAACAAGAGTCTATAAATTCCATTATTTTCACAGGCATAACAATCAGCCCTACAAGAAGATCCACTACAGCCAGAGAGAGGATGAGCAGGTTGGTTGGAGTGTGGAGCTGCTTGAAGTGAGAGATGGAGATGATCACCAGCACATTCAGAAACACAGTGAACACAGATACACATGAGAGAAAAACAAGTAAAAGTATATTAATAGGTCCTGTGCGGATTTCCTTTCTGCACGATGAGTTGTTGTCAGGAAAGCAATAGTGAGCGGTCATGTTTTGCTGATGCATGGCAAAGCTGATGTAGAACAAATGTGTCTTAGCTGTGCCTAAGAAACTATTAATTGTAAGTGATGCACCAATACATTTGCCCTCTTGAAAGTGCCTTTAAATAACGATGTGTGAACCCGCCCACTGACATATGAGTGGCTACTTTCTCCTCAACAGCCATCACTCAAGTAGCATTCTACAACATTTTACTTGACATCCATTACAGTTAGAAAAAAAAGACAGTGATCAAATTATATGTATGTTTTAAAAAACATGGTGATTATTATCAGCACTGCCTTCCCACTCCCTACAAGCCCAACTTCTTGAATTGCAAAAAAAGTGATATTATTTCTCAACTGTTTGATTTTTCTTAAATTTCGCACGCCTCCTAAACCAATGTCTAATGTCGCTGTGGCATAGCAATATCTAAGCTGATCGGAGGTTGGGTCCAAGCAAATATAGCTTTTTACAAACATCAAAAGGATTAGCTAATCCTTCGCTTCGTCACATGTCTCTAAAATCGGTTTGGTAAAGCTTACATGTTTGAACCGCTGCATGTGGCCATCAGTGAGGCTTAGAGTGATACTTGTTTTCAATGGCAACATGTAGACACAGTCTTACCCTGCTCCACTGTCTCTCCAGACTATAAGAACGTAGCTGAACTATGCTAGTTCCAAGCATAGGCTTCTATTTACATAGCTGTAGTAAGTTACATACTTAAAACCACAAAGGAAAGTGGTTCTGTACAGAACCATGAACACTCAAAGAAGCGTTTGCCTGGTTAAAGGGTTCATTGCATCATGACATGTTCTTCAGATTGATGAAGACTGTGCTGTAAATGGTTCTATATAGAATCATTTTGAAAAGTGTTCTATATAGCACCAAACAATGGTTCTTTTGTTGTTATAATGTCAAGTTTGTAACAAAACACAAATGTTTTTTGGTGCTATATAGAACCCTTTTGTAACTGCAGTAGGTTTAGGAGTAGCCAGGCCACTTCTTGTTTCTCCCATTACATCAAAAATCTCACTGCAAAATGCTAGAGTACACCCACAAGTGAGTCCGTAATGAAGTGGGATGAATGGAACAAAATTAAAAATCGTACTTGTTTCTAACAACATGCACAGGACATTCTTTAAATTTTGGAAATTAGAAGGCTGTACTTCACTAAAAATCAAAACTTATCTTTTCCATTTTTCTACAGCAAACAGGTTTTGCGCAGCAGAATGCTAGCGTCACTGCTACTGAGTGCTGATTGGTTGGCATTACTCCTACTGAGTGCTGATTGGTCGGCATCACTGCCACGGAGTGCTGATTGGTTGGCATTACTGCTACTGAGCACTGATTGTTTGGCATCACTGCTACTGAGCGCTGATTGTTTGGCATCACTGCTACTGAATGCTGTTTGGCATTACAGCTGCTAAGTTCTGATGGTGGTATTATTGCTAGTCAGTGCTGAACGATTGAAGTGCTGATTGGTTGATATTACTGCTATTAAGTACTGATTGTTTCGCATTTCTGCTATTGAGTGCTGATTGGCTGGAATTACTGGTACTGAGTGCTGACTGATTGCTATTATTGCTAGTCAGTGCTGATTGTTTGGCAGGACTGCTACTGAGTGCTGATTGGTTGGAATTACTGCTATTGTGTGCTGATTGGTTGACATTATTGCTACTGAATGCTGATTGATTGGCATTATTGTTACCGAATGCTGATTGGTTGGCATTATTGCTATTGAGTGCCAATTGGTTATCATTATTGCCATTGTGTGCTGATCAGTTAGCATTACTACTATTGAGTGCTGTTTGTTTGGCATTACTGCTGTTGAATGCTGATTGGTTGGCATTAATACTATTGAGTTCTGATTGGTCGGCACAACTTTTATTGAGTGCTGACCGGTTGGAATTACTGCTATTGGGTGCTGACTGGTTAACATCATTGCTACTGAGTGCTGATTGATTGGCATTACTGCTATTGAGCTCTGATTGGTTGGAATTACTCCTATTGAGTGCTGATTGGTCAGCATTATTGTGACTAAGAGCTGATTGATTGGCAATGAAGAACATTGAAGAATATTCAATATTGAAAATTGAAGAATATTGCTAGTGCAGATCCCACTAAAAAACAGGTGGGGCAACAAAAGCTAAACGTTTGTTAGGTAGACTTGTTGCCAGAATCAAAGATTCTGCAAAGAACCAGGCATCTGGATCTCCTAAGGCAGGGCACTTGTTTAATCAAGTATACATCTTTGCAGAGCAGAAGACATGGGCTTCATTCGGCCCCTCAGTCACATATAATCATGTGGAAATGTGGGCATTTTTCATTTGTCCTTTCTGAATTTCTTAGCAGTCATTTCATGTGTTTGCTTAAACTTGTAATTGTTGGCCAGCCTGAGGCATCTCATTATTATGTCATAGCTGCTCTGCTGCTCCACCTGTTATTTGTTTACCACAGCAATGTCTGCACTGTTCTGTGGTCCTAAAACAGGGAAGGCCCCTGTTTGTCCAAGATGCTGATCCCTCTGACGCCCCGGCCTCAAAACACATATGGAAATAAAACAAACCTTTATTTTAGATTTATTAACATGATTTTTTTGTAACTAGGGTCGCTACATCCTAGTGCACTTCAGGAATGTGAAATGTACATATTCTCACATATTCAGGGAACACAGTGACTTGGTTGACATTACAGTTCCATCACCAAAAAGCCAGATGAGTTATCAACAATAGGGTAGTGTATCTTTCTTTAGCAGGCTGTACTCTCCCTGTTCTCCCTGATAGATATTACATGTCTCAACTGTTGTGCAGTATTGTATAAATTATAAATTGTACCACTTTGCAATAAGACTACCCTCATATACGGGCTTAAGAGTGATTAAAAATTGTTTACTAATGTTATTAATAAGGTCATATACACATTAAAAGTAATACTAATATGTTATTACACCTGAACGAAAAGGGCCTGTTGCTTGCAAAATAGTGACCCCACATTTATGTCGACTAATAAACCTTAGAGCGAGCAGATTACTCATCTTACTTTTAGCATTCAACCTTTACGATTTCCATTTAAATCAGATAGAACAGGTCACTGTTGCTCATGTTGTTTGTGAGTTATAAGTTTAATAACTTTTTAATCAATTTTAAACCATTCATCAACCCTTTTTGAGTATTAATGTAAAGTGTTACCCTGCAAATGAAGTTAGCTGTGTAGTATTGTTGGTTTTATCAGCTGAAGTTAAAAATGTCCCGGAAACAAATTAAATCTTGAAGACGAGGATTCAAATATTCTACAAGATAAAATACATTTAGCTGATTCTCTGAACCATGAATAGAAAATGGCATATATTAATGGATTCACAGAGGAGTTAAGGTATAGTAGCCATCCAAACACAGACCACACTATTGATACCGTTGTGACACTTTCAACTGTCAGAGAACTTACATAAAACGGTATCCAGCAAGCAAGATAAACAAAAATGACAATTCCTAATGTTTTCGCTGCTTTGGTTTCAGAAGAACTTGAAACTTTGGCTCCATGTTTGTTTGAGGCTTCATTCCTCACAGCTCTAACTGCTTTAGCTTGACGTCTTGCCACATTAAAAATGATTAAATACAAGACCAGTATAATAAAGCAAGGGGCTAGAAAACAAATAACCAGGTCAATAATCACCCAGGAATATTTGATGAATAAGATACACTTTCCATAACAGCCAGTGGATTGGATTTGAGATTGAAGAAGATGACCATTAAAGTGGGTATAGATAGTAACATAAAATAAACAAAATGACCAGCCTATAATTATGAGCATTGACATTTTACAAACTGTGACTCTCGTAGAATACAGTAGAGGGTCACTGACAGCAATGTACCGGTCAACTGCAATGAAAACCAGGCTGCAGAGAGATGCTGACATCGGGAGGCCAAAGATTATTGGAGAAACAGAGCATGCAACGTTTCCAAGATACCAACAGGAGTCAATTAGCTCCATTATTTTCACTGGCATAACAAACAGTCCCACAAGAAGATCTGCCACAGCCAGAGAGAGGATGAGCAGGTTGGTGGGAGTGTGGAGCTGCTTGAAGTGAGAGATGGAGATGATCACCAGCAGGTTCAGAAGAACAGTGCACAGAGAAACACATGAAAAAAAAATAACCAGAAATATATAAGCAGGGCCTGTTCGCACCTCCTTTCTGCAAGATGAGTTGTTGTCAGGAAAGCAGTACTGGATGGACATGTTAAGCTGATCCTCAGTAATGTTCATCTGGGCCAGATGATGATCATAAGTGATGTATTGATACATTTACCCTCTTGAAATTCCTTTTTTTATAGCTAAGCATGAACCCTCCCACTGGCAAACAATTGGCTACTCTGTTCCCATCACTCAAGTAGCATTTTACAGCATTACATTCCCTTTAAATTATGATAATAATGGAGCCTGAACTTTTTGCACATATTTGGTGTTGATTTTCAGTAGCAAGCCTACTGTCCAGCAATGATCTGTCCTTCAGGAGAAAGTAATAACAAAATAACTGAACTTCATTTTTGTGTCAAGGTAACCAGAAAGCAGTCTATGAAGATTTATGTTATTTTAGAATAGCAGTTCTTAGGATTGGATTACATATTATTTTAACGTTATATCAGTATTATTCAAAAATCAGTTCTGATGGTAGTCTGACTGGTTGAGAAGTGTTCTGGCCACAAGTCACAAATAATAGCACTTTTTTTTTCTTATCAGCTGTATGAATCTGCTGAGCACCAGTTGTTAAGTATGACTGCTTTGCAGCTAAACTGTTATTATTTTTCTACTTTAACACACAAAAACAGAAAATGGCAAAATATGACTTCCTCTTCCAGTTCTCACGAAATATACATTAAAAAATGATCTAACCTACATTTTCTCACTCCTGAGAAAACAGCAGGCAAATCACAACCAAATATGTTTCAAAATCCTCTTTTGTTTCTCTGAACATTATGATTCAAAAACATCAAGCACCAACACTTTGGTCATTAAGTCACCATCTAAATAATCTTGTGCGAATGTGTCCACAACACCCCCCATAACTAAGGGACACAGCCTGCACAGGAGAGAGTTACCGGGACCTGCCTCTGGAGACAGGCCTAGGGGGACCATGTGGGCCCACCACCTACAAGGTCCAGCATGGGGGACCGGTGCAGTGCTGTATAGGTGGTGGGAGATGGCGGGGAGGTCGTTGGTAGCAAGGACCCCTGTGGCAGAAACTGGTTTTTGGCATGTGGAACGTAGGCTGTGGTGAGGAGCCAGAGCTTGTGTGGGAGGTTGAAAGGTACCAACTAGATATAGTTGGGCTCACCGCCATCCACTCTGTCAGCTCTGGAACCAAACTCCTTGATAGGGTTGGTCCTTCTCCTACTCTGGAGTTGCACAGGCTGTGAGGTGCCAGGCAAATGTGGGGATACTCACAAGTTCCAGGGTAGCTAGAAAGTTGGAGTTTGTTCCAGTGGATGAGAGGGTCGCCTCAATGTGAATTAAAATCACAGGGAGGAAAAATCTGACTGTTGTGTGTGCATATGCACCAAAAAGAACGGCCTGCCTGATCTAAACTTGAATGGTGAACTGCCATTGGACTTCTGTGCTAGTAATGGATTGTCAATAACAAACACCAAGTTTGAACACAAGGATGTTCATAAGTGTACTTGGTACTAGAGCTACTTGGGTCAAAAGTCATTGATCAACTTTGTTGTCATTTCATCCCACTTGGGACCATATATTGTGGACACTCGGGTGAAGAGAGGTACTGAGCTGTCAACCAATCACCATCTGGTGTTGAGTTGGATCAGATGGCAGGGAAGACTGGCGGTTGGACCTGGTAGAACCAAGCAAATAGTGAAGATGTACTGGGAATGACTGGCATTCCATGTTTGGAATCATTTTAAATCCTACTTCCGGAAGAACTTTTCTCATATTATGGAGAAGGTAGGGGACACGTTCAAAACATCCATCGTGGAAGCTACCAGGTGTACCCATGGCCAAAACTTGTTGGTGCCTGTCAGGGTGGCAATCCAAGAACCCCCTGGTGGACACAGGTAATGAAGAAGGCCGTCAAGCTGAAGAAGGAGGCCTTTAGGAGGACTCCCAACTTTGCAGATAGGTGTCGTCAGGCAAAGAAGGTGGCAGCGGCAGTGGTGGCTGAGGCAAAATCCATAGCATGGGAATAGTTTGGCTTCAAGGAGGTTCTGGATAACTGTCTGGTAACTCAGGAGTGGTCACGGTGGCTTTACTCTGACTGTTGAGGGCCAACCCAGTCTGTCACAGTGTAGCCGAGGTCAGGAGGGCATTATGTGTAGGGGCCAGAGGGTGGCATCTTTGCTGTTTGCAGATGATGTTATCGTTTTGGCTCCATCGCATGGATGCCTCCGGCACTCACTGGAGCGGTTTGCAGATAATTGCAAAATGGTTGGTATGAGTTGGTATGGTATGAGGAACAGGCTGGGAGAGGCAGCAGCAGTAATACAGTCACTGTACCAGACTGTAGTGGGAAAGAGGAAGCTGAGCCATAAGGTAAAGCTCTCTATTCACCAGTCGGTCTACATCCCAACCCTCACCTTCTTCGCAGGATGGCAGGCTCTACTCTACTTAATAGGGTGAGGACCTCGGTTGTCTGGCAGGAGCTCAAAATAGAGCTACTAGTCCTGAGCATAGAGAGGATCCAGCTGGGGTCATTCGGGCATCTGATCATTTACCAGGCACGGTGTACCGGGAACAGGCCCAAAGGTCATCCTAGGACCCGCTGGAGGGATTATATCTCCAAGGCTGCATGGGAGAGGCTAAAGATCCCCAAGAATGAGCTGGAGGAAGTTGCAGGGGGACAGCATTGTCTGTTTACCACGACCCTATCTGGATTAAGTGGATTATCTTCAATAATCATATTTGTCCACTCTGTTCTGTGGTCCTGAAGCATGGAAGGCCCTGAGCCAACAGTGTTTGATCCAGGTGCTGATCCCTGACCTCAAAATATATATGTAAAACAAACTTTTATTTTAAATTAATCATTATTACTCTTTTTGTAACTAGGTTTGCAGCATCCTTGTGCACTTCAGAACTATAAAATGTGCATATTTTAATACAATGATTAAAATTAGTGTCAGTGCCAGGCAAAGTAAAGTAAGACATACATATCTGAGACCAGATTTTACTTAGTTGCAGGTTCTTACTAGTATAGGAAACACAATGAATTTGTTGAAATTACAGTCCCATCACCAAAAAGCTACATGAGTTATCAACAATAGGGTAGTGCATCTTCCTTCAGCAGTCTGTACTCTCTCTGTTCTCCCTGATAGATACTGCATTCCTCTACTGTTGTGCAATATAGAATAAATTATAAATTGAACAACTTTACAATAAGACTATACTTATAAATTGTTTATGAGAGGTTAAAATATGTTTATGAATGGTTATGAATAAGGTCATCTTATTACATATAAGAATAAAGGGCCTGTTGCTTGCCAGATAGTGACCCCACATTCATGTCTACTAATAAACCTCAGATTATGTGGGTTACTCATCTTACTTTCAGCATGCAACCTTTTCATTTTAAACCATTCATAAACCCTTTATGAGTATCATTGTAAAGTGGTACCCTGCAAATGAAGTTAGCTGTGTAGTAGTGGTGATCTGGAAACAAATTAAACCTTGAAGACGATGATTCAATTATTCTACATTATAAAATACTCTTAGCTGAGTCGCTGAACCATGGATAGAACAAGGCATAAATCAGTGGACTTACAGAGGAGATAAGGTATAGTAGCCATCCAAACACAGTCCACACTATTGATACAGTTGTGACACTTTCCACTGACAGAGAACTTACATAAAATGGTATCCAGCAAGCAAGACAATTCCCAGTGTTTTCACAGCTTCGGTTTCAGAACTTGACAGTTTGGCTCCACGTTTTTTTGGGACACCATTTTTCACAGCTGTAACACCTGAAGCTCTTTAGTGGTGAACATTCAGTGTTGTCCCATCTAAATCTCTTATGAGTCATTTCATGTGTTCCTACAGCATGGAAGACCTTGAGCCAACAGTGTTTGGTCAAGGTGCTAATGCCTCTGGGGTCCTAATCTCAAAACACATATGGAAGTAAAACAAACCTTTATCTCCAAAGTAGCCTGGGAGTGGCTTGGGATCCCCTGGAATGAGCTGTAGGAAGTTGTGGGGAACAGGGTCATCTGGGATTCTTTGCTTTCCTGGCTATTACCGCGACCCTATCTGGATTACATGGATTTTCTTAAATAACGATGATAATTGGTCCACTCTGTTCTGTGGTCCTGAAGCATGGAGTGTTTGATCAAGGTGCTGACCCCTGACCTCAAAATACATATGTAAAACAAACTTTTATTTTAAATGTATCATTATTACTCTTTTTTATAACCAAGGTTGCAACACCCTAGTGCACTTTACGAATAGAAAAAGTGCTTATTTTGATACAGTGATTAAAATTAGTGTCAGTGCCACACAAAATAAAATTATACATACATATCTGAGACCAGATCATATTTTGTTGCTGGTTCTTACATGTATAGGAAACACAGTGACTTGGTTGAAATTACAGTTACATCACCAAAAAGACAGCTGAGTTCTCAACAATAGAGTAGTGCATCTTCCATTAGCAGTCTGAACTCTCTCGGTTCTTATTGATAGATATTACATTTCCCTACTGTTGTGCAGTATAGTATAAATTATAAATCGAACAACTTTACACTAAGACTATCCTTATCAATCATTTAACAATGGTTAAAAAATGTTCATGAATGGTTATTAACCTCTTAACAAGCAGGCCTGGCGATGGGCCCAAAATTTTATTTTCCACTTCTATGACCTGAAGATATGCTTGAGTCCCTGTAGTTACTGAATAATAAGCCTTTGGACAAAATAAACCAGGATTGTTAAGGGGTTAATAAGGCCATGAACACATTAAAAACCATTGCTAAAATGTTACTACATATAAAAAAAGGGTCTGTTCCTTGCCAAATAGTGACTCCACATTTATGACTACTATTAAACCTCAGATCATGTGGGTTACTCACTTTATGTTCAGCATTCAACCTTTACAATTTTCATTTAAATCAGATAGAACAGGTCACCGTTGCTCTTGTTATTTGTGGGTTATAACATTAAGAAACTTTTGTAACAATTTTAAACTATTCATAAACACTTTATAATATTATTGTAAAGTGGTACACTGAAAATGAAGCTGTGTAGTAGTGTTGGTTTTGTCAGCTGAAGTTAAAAACAATCTGGAAACAAATTAAACCTTGAAGACGAGGATTCAAATATTCTACAAGTTAAAATATACATAGCTGATTCTCTGAACCATGAATAGAAAATGGCATATATCAGTGGATTCAGAGAGGAGTTAATGTATAGCAGCCATCCAAGCACAGTCCACACCATTGACAAAGATGTGACACTTTCAACTGAGAGAGAACCTATATATAATGGTATCCAGCAAGCAAGATAAACAAAAATGACAATTCCTAATGTTTTCGCTGCTTTGGTTTCAGAAGAATTTGAAGGTTTGGCTCCCTGTTTTTTTGAGGCACCATTTGCCACAGCTCTAACAGCTTTAGCTTGACGTCTTGCCACATTAAAAATGATTGAATACAAGACCAGTATAATAAAGCAAGGGGCTACAAAAAAAATAACCAGGTCAATAATCACCCAGGAATATTTGACGAATAAGACGCACTCCCCATAACATCCACTGGATATCTGAGATAGAAGAAGGTGATCATTAGTGTACAAATAGATAATGACATAAAATAGACAGAAAGACCAGCCCATGATGATGAACACAGACATTTTACAAACTGTGACTCTCGTAGAATACAGTAGAGGGTCACTGACAGCAATGTACCGGTCAACTGCAATGAAAACCAGGCTACAGAGAGATGCTGACATCGAGAGACTATTGATCATTGGAGCAACTGAGCATGCAATTTTTCCAAGATACCAACAGGAGTCAATTAGCTCCATTATTTTCACAGGCATAACAAACAGACCCACGAGAAGATCCGCCACAGCCAGAGAGAGGATGAGCAGGTTGGTGGCAGTATGGAGCTGCTTGAAGTGAGAGATGGAGATGATCACCAGCAGGTTCAGAAGAACAGTGCACAGAGAAACACATGAAAAAAAAATAACCAGAAATATATAAGCAGGGCCTGTTCGCACCTCCTTTCTGCAAGATGAGTTGTTGTCAGGAAAGCAGTACTGGATGGACATGTTAAGCTGATCGTCATTAATGTTCATCTGGGCCAGATGATTATACCACATGAATTGATACATTTGCCCTTTTGAAATTCCTTTTTTATAGCAAAAGTATTAACCCTCCCACTGACATATGATTGGCTACTTTGTCCCCATCACTCCAGTAGCATTTTGCAGCATTACTTTCCCTTTAATTATGATAATAATGAAGCATACAATTTTTGCACATATTTGCTGTTGATTAGCAGAACCAAGCCCACTGTCCAGCAGTGATCTGTTCTTTAGGAAGCATCATTACAGAAGGTCATAACAAAATGACTGAACTTCATATTAGTGTCAAGGTAACCAGGGGCCATATTACAGAAAATTCTTAAGTCTGAGATTTGCTTTGTTGTTATGGCAACTTCAGTTAAGACTGAAGTTAGGAGAGAAGCTATTACAGAACAACAGTTCTTAAGTCTATAATCTTATCTTATTTCCAGATAAGAAAACGGTATTACAGAAACACCTCAAGTTGCCAAAATATCCTAAATATTTTCTTAACTTTGACAAAGTCCAGAGTGTCTTATCTTCTGTTTTAATCATCTGTTTCTATTGTTTTGTGCAGAGATACGCAGAATAGTTCACTTTAAGTAGCGTTTTAAGCCCCAGACACTGCAGACTCGATCTCCACCGTCCCCTCTTATTACCCTTGAACGTTTATGTTGATGAAAACTCGTCAGATAAAATATCACAGAGATGGTGGATAATAATGAGGAGACCGAGCTAAATGTTTGTCTGTTTATTAGGAGGAATAACGTTAGCGTGCTCGTCTAGAGCGTTTGGGAAATGACATTGTGGGGAGCGCGATGCTCTGATAAACAGCACAGAGCTCTGACACAATATTCTTAACTCTCAGTTCATCGCGCTTTAGTTTTATTTGACCTTTTTTACCTCAGTAACGGTAGCTAACATTAGCTGTCTGGCTAACTAACTTGATTACGTGTTTACGTTTCAGCTGTGCACAGATGGTCGGTTGCTAGGTAACAGACATGACAGATGATTGTCGACTTCAATCAAGTAAGTTGAGATTTCCTAACTTGAGATCAGATAAGATGCTATAAGAGTAACATAAGATTCGCTTCTGTAATAGGAATTTGTGAAAAATCTTATCTTGACCTGTCAGACAAAAATAATTCTTTCAATTATATATACATATATATATATATACATATATATATATATATATATATATATATATATATATATATATATATATATATGCATATAAAATGTTTAATCCATATTATACAACAGTCAGTTCCGATGGCACAGTCTGATTGGTTGAGAAGTGTTCTGGCTGTACTGTAATTTATGATAACAGCATTTTTTTATAACAACTATACCATTTCGCTTAGCACCAGTATGTAAAGTGTGACTTCTTTGCAGTTAACCATTAATATGTGTCTACTTGAATCAGCACTCTGTAGCAGCAATGCTAACCAATCAGCATTTAATAGTACTAATGCCAATCAATCAGCACTAAGGAGAAGCAATGCCAACCAGTAAGCACTCAATAGCAGTAAAACCAACCAATCAGCACTCAATATCAGTTATACCAACCAATCAGCACTCAGTAGCAGTAAACATCTAAAAATGGTCAAACTTCTTCTGACAAGATGAGAGTAGAGAGCACAGAGGTTTGTGGCAAGGTAGCAGAAAGCAGTCTAAAAAGACAATGATAGCCACAATCGGTCAGATATACAGCTTTGGGCAAAGTTGTTTTCTTCAAACGAAGAAAATGGATGAACATGTGGTTCCTTTCCTTTTGAATCTCTACCTATGAACCACAACAGGGCTTTTCTTGATATAAGTAGTCTAATAAGTCATTAAGGGCCCCCAAGACACCAGGGGTCCCTGAGAATGTACTTTCTAGATGTAATTATATGTTAGCGCTAAGCTAATGGCATTTCACATGAACTTTTTTTTTTCAGTTCTAGATAAAACACAGATATTTGAGTCTTGAGACATGTTTTATCCAAAGCTTGTAACAGAGATCATATGTTCTACATTGTATGTAGCAGGTTTCCAGTCACTCTTTCAGTAAACAGTCCTGGAATAGAAATGCTTTGACTGTTTTCCATTCCTAACAACTAACTGAATGCATTAGGCTACGCTTGTATGCACAGTCGGTCAAAGCATGATTTTGAATCTGCCAATTCCCAATAACGTTACTGGTTCATCTGACACATTAGGCCTAGATTTCAGCTTCTGTCCTAACCAATGAGAGAGCTTGGCTATATCTACCAGAGAGAAAAAAATAATCTGATTGGATAATTTTTCATTGAGCATTTCAAGAAATTTACTCCCTTGTATCCAACCAAACTTGCTGAAACTTACTGAAAAGAGCAGCACTACAATTTGCAGGTTAAATACAACAAGCATGATGATTAAGTGTTTTTTTTTTTTCATGTGAATCTTTAGGCTTCCTCTGAAGGCCAAGAAGGCTCTGAGGGTTCCCTTCTGGATTTTTCATGCATAACATAACCTTGAGCATTACTGTCTGGCTAAATGTTGTCATGTATCTTTGATAAATATCTTGCAAACAAAATAGATACAAGGTGCAAAGACCCCTTTGCAGAGCTTTCATCTGTGAAAAGGGACCTATTTTGTTATGTTATTTGTACATTTCCTATTCTCCGCAATTTGGCAATTATTTAATCAAGTATGCAACGCTCCCTGAAAAACAGATGGCATGTAAAAGGTGTGTATATATCTTTGAAAGATGTGGCTTTTAAACTTTATGCTGGCTTTTAAACTTTATGCCAGTAATAATCTGAATGGCCATTTTCTTCTTTGACCCAGAGAGCAAAACATCCATTATTTCCATAAATAATCTGAAAGGTGGACTCATCAGACCACAACATACAGAGAAGTCGGCAGCCTTTCTGGACATTGTTGACACATGGCTTCCACTGTGCATAGAACAGTTTTGACTTACATATGTGGATGCAGCAAAAAAACATATTTATTGACAATGGTTTTCAAAGCATTCCCAAGCCCATGTGGTGATATCCATCACAAAAGTATGCTAGTTTTTAATGCAGTGCCATCTGAGGGGTTGAAGGTCATGGGCATTCAGTTGTTGGCCTTGCTATGCTTACACAGAGATTCCTCTGGATTCCCTGAATCTTTTGATGATGTTATGCACTATAGAGGGTGAATTGCCAGAAATCCTTGCAATGACACACTGAGGAATGTTTTTTTTTGAACAGGTGGATTTTTTTGCTGATATATTTTTGGCAAAGTAGCGAGTCTCCACCCATTCTCTCTTACAAAAGACTCGGCCTTTCCTGTTCCTTTTACACTCAACCATGATTACGTCACCTTTTTTCAGAGGTTTTCTGAACATTTAAAAATGGTACTAGTCTTAAATTGTCCCTGTCTTAACTTGTTTTAAATATGTCAGAATGAGCATAAATTTACTAAAAAAAATCAATAACTTGTCTTTTTACTGCTTTTGTTTAAATACAGGTCAAAGTGGATGTACAAATTACTGCTTTCTGTTTTTGTTTGCACATCCTGTCACAGCTTTTTATGAATTTAGCAGAGGCACTTCTTCCTCACACTGTTGTATTTTATACTTAATAGAACATACATATACATCCAATTAAGTATAATAGAATGCTAAATAATAAAATGTTGGGAGGAAGCATCAGTATCACACATTCCCACTATACCAAATGTGTTACTATATACTACTATGTAACTATATTGTCAGTGAAATAGCTACTTTTCAATTGTATTTCTTTTTCCAGGTTTTATAAGCTCTCACTGTAGCCATGAAATTGTGAATGGTAGAGCTCTGGTCAATGGCATGTCAAATTGGCCAAAATAGGAGACAGTGGTGACCCTGAGACAGGTGTAAAGGACTTCAAAAGAAGAATTGAAGAGTGTAGCCTGTACAGATACCACTAAAATATTGGTGGAATGCCAAAAGCTACACATTCTTCAGGACATTGTGTCTAAGCCCACTTGATGGCAGTATTGCTGTTATATTTGAACCACCTCACTTGCTTCTTTTAGTCAATTACAGGAGCCTCCTTTATGGAAGAAAATCTCTAAATGGCAGAGTATGAAGACTATATTCAGTCACTCTAATAACCAGATGATGGCTTCCCAATTACAACTGACACTGCCAACAATAATGTGACAATAAAACGAATAATTTTATTAGGAAAAACCTTAGAAAAACTTTTTTGATTCAGTTTCATAAAAGTATTTCTCAGGTAAAGTAGTTTGTAAGTTAGAGTAGGCCTCAGTCACTTGACCCACAGTTCCAGCAGTATTCCTTGCATCACCATATGCCTTGTTTATTTGACACCTTTAATTGTGAGGTTTCAACTGAAGTGCTTATTAAGCCACTATTGTTGTCGGACAGGGCATGCAGGTGCTAATAGGGTCTTAAGAGACCTGTGGTTAGAATCGGGTAAATAGGCCATCTCATGTTATAATCTAGTAAATTAAAGGCTTCTAATGGTCCCAGCTGAATAGGGAAGATATGCATTACATCATGAAAGCTCCACTGATTTACTGATGCAAACTTCTTAGTTCTTTCAACCCTAACTCTTAAAGTAAGAATTCTATAAAATAAATATCCACAAACTAAAGCATGAAAATATATGGCACACAAAACTATGAACATTATCATACAAAGAGGCCTAGTTAACAATCGCTATGTATTACTTTTATCTTTTTTTATTTGAGTTAAATTAAAAAAGTACAATTTGTCTGCCACTGGCATTTACATATGGGAAAACATATATGAAAATGATCACTTTAGTTTAGAATATGAAATTCTTCATAGAACTGATATACGCTATATGGCCAAATATATGTGGACACTTCTCCTAATTATTAAGTTATTTAACAGTTGTATAAAATCAACAGCTCCATACAGACATGGTTAGATGAGAACTCCAGTGGCCTGCACAGAGCCCTGACCTCAACCCCACTGAATACCTAAGGGATGGACTGGAATGTCGATTGTGAGCCAGGCCTTC